CTGTTGCTGAGGAAATGACTGATCGAGACAACGGGGGTGGCGATGCTGATAGGGATGGATCCGAAAGGCAGCAGATCAGCTTCAAGTAAAGAGTAACAACCCGGAAAGAGTCAAATCGACCAAGCTATCAGCCCTGTCAGGACCAAGTGGTATCACTCCGCGTGCCAGTTTGAAGTTCCGAACGCCTGCCCCCGTGCCCGCTAAAACCGACACCTCGGTACGGGCCCCGCTTCGCCCGGCGGACGACCGACTGATTCGGAAGCCTGACCGACCACAAGATTAGCTTCACCTCCGTACGGACCTTGGCATCGTCTCGTGTTCCGGAGGCTCTGTTGTGAACCTACCGGACAACCATACGGCCGACACACCGCTTCCTCGATGCCTGTCTCTCATCACAGCGTGTATTCGCCTTTAGGTCACAAAGTGTGAACGAAATATGCCCGAGGCACAGTTGATATTCCCTGCTATAGCCCCCATCCGATGTCAGCTTCGCTACAGCGACGAAAGAGCCTTTCAGCACGAGGCGTAGCAAGCCGGATCGCTTGTGTGGCAGGTAGCGTGGGGAGGACGTCAATGTCCGAGGGTCGTTGGAGAGAGCGAACCAACCGTGCAGATCTTAGTAGACGCAAGGCTGATATGAGTGAGGCGCCTCTATCGTAGCTTGTAGCATTGAATAATGGCTTCAATGATGCCGGTGGAATTGAATTAGGACCCCAAAATAAGCTGCAGATTTTGCTGCTATACTACAAGGATCTTACTCTGATGCGCATGAAGTGCAGAGTAGGAGTTCGCAGCTGGCCGTCACGGAGCAAGCCATGCCATCTGACAGATTCGAAAACCGATAAACGCCGTGGGCCATTCCATCGTTCCGGAGGGAGCTGCAGTCGATGTTGTCGAACCGCCTATCCGTTGGCTGCGGATTCTGGCCACTCAAAACGTTTCCCCTCAATGCTAGTCCACGGAAGGACTGAGTTCCTCATCTTTTCGTTGGTCCAAATACGCACCAAGACGAATAAAGGATCTTGTGGACATGTCTATTGTACCGTGATCGATGCTGTACCTGAACGGCACAGTTCCTGCTGAGTGACGGCTGAGAGGGGTACGGAGCGGGGAGATATGCTGTCAGGCCTTAGCGGCCGCATCCCAAGGGAGACGGGTAGGTAGGTACGTAGGTAGGCCTAAGTATTGCGAAGATTCCCTCGCGATTCTCGTGCTGTTATGTCTGACTTCCTCGCATGATATGGCCAAGCGAGCGAATGGTGGCTGGGGTTATGATCTTGCAACTGGATCAAGTGTGAGTCAGGTGAGAGGGGAGGCGGAATCGACGGGCGTCTGCATGCGCCGCAAGAGATATTGGCGTATTGACAATGGGAGCGTTTATGCCGTGCCTTAGAGTTGCGAAACCTTGGGCTTCAAAATCGTGACGACGCGCATGAGTTAATCATCACGGCGCAACCTGAGCCGTAGCAATTGCGAATGCAGGTTGCCTCGGCCTTGCAGGCCATGTTGGGACGTTGGTGTTTTCGCGGCCAAGGCTGCAGTTCTTCACCGCCAGCTGTTTGCCTAATATTATCCCAGTAAACAAAGGATGCTTCGAAGATGACAGCTTATAATCCTGGCAACTATTAATTGTACGCCTTTGAGTCATATGACCGCCGTAGGACGCAGAAGAGGTCATAATGGAGGGGAGGTGGTTCGTGAAGGAAGTTGAAGTTACCGACACAGCGGGCATGGCCCCGCCCCTTGCTCGCCGGCCGTCTTGCAGACTGCGTAGACCAACTAGATGTCATGACAAGTCGGCCTGCTGTACATGTAATGCCAGTAGCTCTGCTGAGCAGCGGCGTAGAATGCATCAGGCAATGGGGCATACAAAGAGAAAGAAAGGAATACCTAGACCGTTAGTGTTAAGGCGTCTGAGACATGGATACAAGCAACGGTGCGCCTTCATCCTTCTCAGCACGCCACTTTGATGGTACTCGCGGTACTCTACTTCAAAGTCGAGCCTTGCCGGCCGGCTTAGTCCACAATGTGCTGCCGTCGCATTGTCTCGTGTCAGCATGTGTATGCATGTCGCCGGAAAGGGCAACGCCACATCCATACCCGTCGATATCTGGTCACTGTCTGTTCAGCCCTGTATCCGTAGGTACTCGCGGCTGCTTGCAGGTCTTCGGTTCCAGGATGAGACCGTAGCGCCCGGTCACCGCAGGGCGCGCATGTCTTGTATTTCATCGGGCTGACTACCAACCGGCATTGTTTGGGATTCCGATAAGCTGCCTGGACTTGTGGAATTGAGATGATCGTGCATGCCTACGTTTTCGCGTTCTCCGCTGCAACAGCACGACGTTGCGGGAGTCCTATTCATGGAGATATAGGTAATTCGGCTATCAGATGGGACACAGAGTGAGACTGGACCTGGCTTAGGTACAACGATGCCTCGGTGGGCTGAGAGTGTAATGAGTCGGTTCGGATTACCTCTTGTCTCAGCTAGGTATTGCCCGCGGCAATTTCCCTTTACTCGCAGGGCTTTAGCTAGATGTCGCGTGGCTTGTCGTGGCGGCCTAGACTGACATGTTGTGTACTTAGTGATGTATGTACAGAGGCGCCGACGAAGCAAGTTGATTGGGACTGCCTGGCAGCTTTGGTGGGCGATTGGATAATCGGCGAACCTCTCACAAGACGGACAGATACTGTACCTAGACCAGGGGCCCAAGACATCGAAATCGCAGGGCTACCGTGTTCGTCCAAGTGGATGGTGTTTATCAGTTCGACAATGGCAACCAAACCGGCAGGGAAAGGCTCGATAGTCCTCGTCGAACTGCCAACACCCTTTAGCAGTGTTCTGTTATTGCCTCTCTTCCGCACCCTCCATAGCAAAAACCATGGAGCAGAAACCATGACCATCCTGGCGGGCACGACGGGTTAGAGATTAAGCTTTAGCACCGCCCCACGGGACTGTCCCTTCCTGTTGTCGATGACTCTGCTCGCTGGAATGACAGCCAGTCAAATGAGGATGACGACGCCGGCACGGCGTATCGGGAACGCTGTCCAAACGCCACGCAGCCAGGTGATTGATTACCTGGGGACCTGAAAACTTCTCCGGAAGGATGGTGATGTAGATACAGGACCCTCTTCCGCGCCCGCACCCACCTTCCGAGATGTCGTCCGGGTTGCTCTTCAACCTGATGCGGGCGTGCCGGTTTTCAGCAACCCCAAGCCATCATGCGAACGGACCAGGCCGGAGGTGAATGGGACGTCCGCACACGTCTGGACCTGCGACCGATCGATGGGCAGCTAGACATCGCAGGGAAACACTGCCCTCTTTCCATTGCCTGAGCTATGCCGCGACATTTGACATCCAAGTGTAGGTGAGTTGAAGACCAGGTTCAAAGTAGGATATTGGTAGCAGTGCCCAAAGAATTGGGCCCTTGGCATGGTCGCTAAACGACTAGAGAACTCGCTCTGAAATCAGCAGTCATGAACCAACAGTCCTGAAGCCCAACCCTCACTTTGCAGTCCGCGCCACAGTCGTCACCAGCCCTTGAACGTCATCGCCGTTGAAGAAAATTTGATCTTGGGCATGCGGCCCTGTCTTCGATCGATGCATTGTGGCCATGACATCTAGCTACCTGTGCCACCCAGCTCCCAGCTCCCAGCTCCCAGCGATGTGGTGACAAACCACTCGAGTACTTTGTCAGGTGCTAGCTGGAAAGGTGAATCGTGGTCTTGGCTTGGTAACTTGACTTGAGATGGCTGTAGCCTTTGATGGCATGTAGTGATTATGGCGCCTAGTGAGCGTAATGCGAACAATACGGCCGAGAATGATGGTTGTGTGGATAACCAGCGTGCCTGTTCTGTTTCTCCCCCGCAATAGAGTTGTGCTTCTCCGATACCTCCAGAGGCAGTCATTTTTTGATTGGCTTCTGCCACAACTTGAGCTTAGGAGAAGCGCAGTTCGGGAGGCAGATTTGAAATTGTTCCCGAGGGATAGCGTCCTGCAGCCTGCTTACTGTCCATGGCAGTGGAGTCGATCGTTGCACTAAGATGCCCACGCTATTCCAGGCGTCCGTATCCATAGAACTGTTACTCGAGACCGCACCGGAGCACATTGTGTTTCTCAAGTCCACATTGCTTGCGCTGCACCACTCACATAGGGAATGGACCGTTGCTAAGAACAGCACTGGTGCCGCCTTCTCTTCGCTCAGCATCCTTAGCATCGTCCGTCTGAAGTTCTGCCTCTCCATCATTGGATCGCTTCAAGGTGAAGAAGGTGTAGACACCGCACGCGCTCTTGAGCAATCTGAGCTTGGCCGCTAGAATGGCAGATCTTATTCGGCCCACAGCAAAGATCGGCGGGGGGTCTGATGCCCTACGGACATTGGGATTGTTGATTCCCATTGCTTGTCTTGGATCCTTAGCTGGGGCTTGCAAGACCTGGAAGTTTGAACCGTTAAACCTCGACTCTCTTTTGCATTTTAGGATTGACTGTTGAGATTTCGATATCGTGTCAGCACACCGTGAGAGCAGAAAACGGAAATTCTCCATGGATAGAGTCGAAGTGGGTAAGAAGACCCGTTGGCGTGCAAGGAGGCACAGAGAGGTATGGAGTAGAGATGAGCTTCGTTCTCACCGAGGTGAGTTTTTTTATTTCTTTCGGTGTGCTTATGTTCTACAGGAGCTTTGGGCACCAAAGCCATCTACTCTGTATCCGTACGGATAGTGGTTCTGACTCGGCTGATCCCATGCCTAGTGACTCGTCTCGAACACGAATCGAAAGCCATAATAGGTAGGTATTGAGGTAGGTATAGCGGGCATCGAGCCTTGCGGAGAGGCTAGCGGCTGCACTCACACCCCGTGGCTGAGAAGCTGTGGCGCAAATTCCAATGGCCTATTGAAGTGTCATGGAGGCCCCAGTTTGAGGAAGACATGCTTAGCCTATGGCGTGTGACTAAAATGGGCGATCTCAGCGTACGTATTCGTTCGCAATCAAGTGTACAAGTAGCTCATGCCGTCTGAACGTCGTGGTCCCCTTCGTTGTCCCCTTCGTTGAGTCGTAGGGAAGTCATGCGCCTAAACGCCAATTGCGAGGCTTCGGCAGTTGCAGCCTTTAAGGGGTAAGGCATAGCCAAGCTCCATTTTGTTGCCAGTTGAGTGAATGGGTGTGCCAGGCTCCCCCCGCGGGTGTCCGGGTACTGAATCAAGACAGGTGCCATGGGACTCATGGGAGGATACACTAGATCACAGGAGACGGACTGGAGCTTTTGGGTGGTCGAATCGTACGCTATGTGTGCAGTGCAGTAGACGAAAGCTTGGGCTTTCGGGGATGGCTGCATGGGTTGGCGAGCCTGGCAATGTTTCATGCCATTCTGGTCGTGGATGGCCCATTGGATGACGGGACTCGGGGGTCGCTCCAATACGGAAGCCATCGCCTTGTCACCCATCGGAGCGACTCCATCAAGCTCCATTACACTGCGCTGCACAGCCTTCTTCCATTCTCCAGTTCTCCCCCAATCTCCAGTTATCAGGACGTCCGAACCCGCAGGCCCCTAGGATTTGGGTCTGAATGTGCCGAGGCATGGAATTCCAGCTGTCCAAGGTCCGGCCCCTTTGCCTTGCATCTCTAACGGTGTCACACCATGATAATGGCCAATGAGGCCCCTTGAAAAGGCACAGGGCGGACAGGGAGGCCTTGAAAGGCTTCGAGTTGAGATACCAGAAGTAGCAAAGAGCCTCATTGTTGATTCTTCATACTCGGTAGGATTCTGAGTTTTGACAATGGGGTCAGCGTTGCTGCCTTCCAAGTCTGATAGGATTAGGAGGTGTGTTTCCGCCCGTGATCTCGGTGCTCTCGGTGGAAATGTGGAGATGCTCAATATGAGTCGCGGGCTCTGGTGACGTGCAGTCTGTGAGGGGCGATGAAGCACTGGCGTCTGGCGGCGGCGGTTTGAGGTTCAGTGGCGACGCTCTGGGGTTCTCGAGATGGCTGGTCTGGGGTCGTTGTCCTCTTTAGGCCTTTCAATCGGCATCCCGGTTCGTTCAGTACCTGCCATTGTCCATATGTCCCATTTGCATTGAATTTGCAATCGTATCCGTACGCACTTCATCACTTCGGACACGCAGTGATGGTTCACGAGATTCGTCCAAAATGCCTCCCAGAAAGCTTCCCGAGTATAGCCTGCGGTAATGTTGATTCAGAACATGTAGGCGCTGCGTGTCCTTAGCAAGAGCTTTTCTGCCATCGCGCACAGTGGTGCAATCCGGCTCGGTCAGTTCAAGAGGCCAAGCCTCCAACTCGATATCGTTGCTCGAATAGCTACAAACTTGTATAAGCCTCGCTGAAGGTTAACATAGTTTTTGCAATGTTTTCCAAATCGTCGAAATTATGATGGTTACGTCCGTGGTAGCCCCGTAATGCGGCGCCAATCTGGCTGCGCTATCTTCATGTATCCCGGCGGCGTATGTCTATTCTGCCCAGCGAACGCCATTCGCAAGTCGACCTGGATTTGAACTAGACCCTCTCATTAGAGCAGAACGCACAGAAGTAGCCGGACCATCGGCGTCCTCGCGGCCGTGAGTGCTAGATCGACGTGAGGTAGGCTTCGGAAACGTCAGTCCGAGTTTCGAAGCTTTCTTGACGTACAAAGTATGAGTAGAGCTGTCTCGTTCCTGGTCGAAAATGCAACCATACCTCCAGAATCCGAGTACCTATTCTCTAGTCACTTTTGAATGGCAATGAGCCTGCAGGAAGTTCTATTGCTGCCGCATTTTGCTTCGACATTGGTGAAATCCGTGTTCACGGCCTTGTCCGGGTCCTGACTAAGTATTCCGTACAGATACTGTACAAGTTGAACCCACGCAAGCGTGTTGGAGTGGCTCGTGCGAGCAGGATCTACGCCCTATCTCCGCTTGGGGCACGAGGGAGTACGAATACCCCTGTCGACAGGCCGACAGACAGACGCCAAGTTGGAGGCACGAAGCTAAGCAAGCCGCGGCAGCGAGGCCCAAACGGTGTAGGGCTGAGGAGGTGGCTTTGGGGTTGGATTTCCGCCATCATACCGTCCTAGTCTATCCAAAGGCAGACGGGCTCTTGCCAACATTCCGCACTCAACCAGTAGGTATTCGTTCTTCTTGGATTGGCAAGCGCGCCGGAGCTGTCTTTTTGTGGCTGATGAATGTTCCAACAATGTCCATCCGTATGTGGTTTGCATGTGACGAGGGTTCGAGTCGTTGCATGACTCGTCAGATGAACCATCACCCACGTGCGCTAGGGACATGTCCTGTCTCCAGAATCCAACCTCGTTGACCGTTTGTTGTTGTTGTTGTTATTGTTGGATCGTTGGTTGACATGATCAGGGTATGGAGCATTGGAGCTGCAGCGTGGAGATTTGAACTGCAGGGCAGCAGGGAAACCCTCATCGGAGCCGATTGGCCCCGTTCTACCCCCACCTTGCCGATGCTCCAAAATCAAACCGCCTACGGTGCGGGGTATTCGTACTCGATTCGTTCCGAAACGCTCCAGCACGACTCTGCCTGGGCATCGACAGACTATCGACGGACGCGGCGCAGTCGTTGATAAGTGGTGCACTGAAGAAAGCCACTATCCACTGAAGGGAAGGGCTTTGAGCGTGCGAGCATGAGCTTTTGTCATGCTTACCGTACATGGCCAACTGCCACAAGTCTCGCGCCAGTCAGGGCTAGTGAAAGCGCAAGATTCCGAAAACTTAAATGTCACTCTCCCCTTTCGTGGAATTGCGAGGTGGTCTTCGGAGAAGACTCCGCAGCAAGTAGGGTCAGACGCCTCCCTTCAGTGGCGGACAACGGGTGGCTGGCTTTGCGTAGCGTAAATGTGACCGTAAGCAAAGTCTGGTTGATTGCTAGTCTGCACGATTGTAAGCGAGCTGAATGGAAGCGACGCTGGCTTCTATTAACGCGTCTCCCGGTTTGGAATCATTCTTCATGATTGGCGAATAGCATGTTCCAGTGCATGTCACAGGCCACACTTTGCCAGATCACAGCGTCTGGGGAGCCTCTTCGCCGCCGTGAGTAACTTATCCGCGGACAAAAGCGAACTCGGCCTCGTTGGCGAGATTCGGTATCACCACGATTGCATCTGTAGGCATAGCGGTAGTGTCCGATGAAGACACAGGACCTGGCAGAATCACCATATTTGGTCGTCACACGCCGAACTGCGTGGGTTGTAAGGTGATCAGTACTGCGCACGCAGAATTGGGTACTCGAGTTCAGACGGGGATGGCCTAGATCGCTCGCGGCCGCCGGTGTCTTGGGCCTGCCGATGGGCCAGAAAGGGAACTGACAACGCACGCTGTAAACCTCGCTGCAAAGCCCGGACCACGACCCTCCCCGCTCTGTCAAGGGTGGTGGTGTGTGTATCCGTACGTACGAACGTTTAAGAAGGAAATGCGCAGGGAGCCAACGTCCAGGCCTGGACTTCCTCGATGGCCGTCTGCTTGGAAAGCATGCCTCTTCCCTTTAACAACAAGCAGACGTTATCCTTGGCGTGGTCGTTTCTTCTTGTCCATCTATCGCAACCTTAGTACTACCGTATCTCGTTAATATAACACTCGGTTGTACCATTCAATACCCAGGGAGCTTGGTGGCGAACTGGGCTGCCCGGCATCTTGGGTAAGGCGCACCAGCCTCCAGGTACGGAGATAGACGTCAGCCTGCCAGCCTGATAGGGCCAGGAGATACTGCTGGTCTGCCTGAGAGGGTTTACGGTACTCTCCTGCAAAACGTGGGCATGCAGGGCTGCCCTAAAAGTCTCTGTGGGAAATGCTACTAGCGCCCCGGACCCTCGGCGGTCTTGCCTTTCACGGAGGGTAGGGCCATTTGTCTGACAATACTTTGGTGCCCGTACCGGCACGGTTCGGAAAATGCATCATTGTCAGCCCTAAATGACGGAACGGAGAATGGAACTCGCAAACACTTGGTATTCAAAGCCATGGCCAGAACCCAAGGCGACAGAAGGTGCGAAGGCTTTCAGCCATGCGCCGGCGGGGGGCTGTAGGCGCTTAGTCAAAATATGGATTGTGGTCCGAAAAGACTGACGCTGTTGGTGCTTCAGCGTTGCCGACAAGGGGCAGCTGGCGGCTCGTCAAACTTGGGGCCTTACGCCCTACTTTCCAGTAGCGGGAGAGAAATCCAAATAGCGTCCAATACTTCGGATCTCGACAGGGGCCACCCTTCCAAACGGAGCAAACCGAGGCCTGTACGAAGTCCGGGCAAGCTATCCGTACGTCTTAGCTCGTTCTAACGGACTCTTGGGTGTCCTAGTGTGAAGAGTAATGATGTGATACTCATCACCTGATCGCAGAGAGAGCGTGAAAGAATGACCCGAACCGATAGGTGAATACCGAGAACTGAATAGCCCTCCGCAAGGCAAGTCAGCGGAAGCTGGCTTGGACCAAAAGGACGTCCCGTGTTGAAGACCAATGGCGAGACAGCTATTCCTTGGTGACAGAGTTATGCTCTGTCGTCGTTGTCGTGGTCGTCGCAAGAGGAGAAGGCTGACGCAATTTTGAGCGTCAAGATTGGCCAAGGATCCGCTCGTAAACACAGTCATCCTGAACCAAGCGGTGCGTTTGTATCGCTGTGGGTGTGCCGTGCTCAGTCGGGCGACAAGCGGGCCTTGACTGACTGATTGGCATGAACATGCAAACGGTGAGCTGCAGCGCAACGGCGGAATGAGAGGAGGGTTTGACGGCGAAATCCCCGACGCTTTTCATTCCCATTATTGGCTGCTAGGACTAAGTGCCGACGTGCACAGCCCAGTCAAGAGATGGCCGGCCTGGCAGGCTGACCGCGCATCTGAACCCCGAGACTGAAAGTGCTAAAAGCGACCACGGATTTGAGATCTTTCGCGTAGGCGGGCTTGCTTGGCAGACTGAGCGGCTGCGGGAAGATCGATGTGGTTAGATCGAGATGCAAAAAGCAGCAGCAGTAGCAGCGCCGCAACCTGGAGATCGTCGAATTAGCCAAACCAGGCCGGAGGCTTTAGACCGTGGAAATTGCGTTTTGCCATATTGAAGCTTCTGTAGTAGCGCATGAGGCACTGCCATTGTGAGCTTGTCAGTACGCAAGCCGAGTTGCCCTTCGGTGGTTGTCCACTCGTTGTTTGGGGAGCTATTTCGTTGTCAAAGATTATTGCAGTGCCTATCGATATCTGATTGTGAATACGCTGTGGAGAGGTTGTACCAAACAAGTGCACATAAATAAGCTTGCTAGGCGAGACGGCGCCAATATTCGGCATTGGCACCGTAGTTCTCTGCCTGCTTGGCTAAAGTGGGAGGGACTTTGGAAATAGCGGCATCAAGGGCCCTCAATTTTGCACCTGTTCCGTAGGCATTTGATCAAAAATCTGCGGAGATTGAGTGAGTGGGTTCCGATTTTCGGTAAGCACCTATAGCAATTCTGAACAAGAGACAGGGCATGATACCGACCCAAAACGATATTTGCAATCAATGATGGTCACCAAAAGAGGCGACGATGGCGGTTGGAACTGCTTCTTGCCAATGTCGGACAAAAACAAAAACCACATGGAGCCGATTGCCTTGTGTTGTCGGACGTACAGAGTGCAGGGACTTTGAGTATGTTCGTTCGCAGCGTAGACACATAATGTAGGTACGTATGGTGGTGAGTGTACCTGTATGAGGTTATGAAGATAAGATGGGTGCGGCGTGGAGTACCCTGGTGTCTGATAGCAGTGATTGGCGGTGGGGTAACTGCAGGGAGGGGTACGAATGGTTCGAGATCCATGCCTGTGTGGAGGCGGTTCGAGTCGAGGAGGTCATTGATAGATGCGGTGAGGTAGAAGTTAATGGCGTGGGCAGCAGTGCCGCAGACAACAGGTGATGGCTGGGAACAATGCCAATGTCTGCGTTAATGAGATCGAGCATCGTTGAGGGTGTTTGCTTTGCTGTGCCTGGAGTGAAGAGTGGCAAGGCAGCTCCAAGATAGCATCGTGATGGTGGAACGAGCCAAAGTAGCGGCGGTTGAACGCCGGACTGGGGAGTCAGTCTGTCGGCCTGTCTGTGGCGGGGAGGCAAGGTCGTACAAGCGTTGTCCCAGGATGAGGCGGGATTGGGCTGGATGGGAGGGGGTCTGGAGTTGACAGCGGTGGTGCAGCAAGGCGTAGGGTTGGAACTTGGAACCTTGGAATTTGCCTCGATAGGGTGCAGTCATTACGGTGCGCCGCGGTGCGGTGCGGATAGTGTAGACTGCGGTCAAACGGTGTAAGGCAGAGAGGTGAGGTTGTGGAGAGGTGCCACTCGGGGTCTTGAACCATCGTTTGGTCGAATGAGACGAGAAGATGGGAGGACAGGAACTGCAGCGCAATGACACTGACATGCCGCACGACGACGACGACGACAATTTCGACATGGTCGGAACGGTGCACAGGAAGGAGATGTAGTGTAGGGAGGTGGATTGTAACGTGAATGCAACAGCAACCCAATGGAAGGCAAAAGCGAGAAGAGGTGATGAATGATGCAACTATTCTATTAGGTAAGGCGAGGTAAGGTAAGGTACCCTCACCCAAAATGCCCATGTACCAGGGTACCTATCCTTCGTGCCTGCCTTCCCTTTCCTTAGCTAATGGTGCTCTCTTTTCTATTCTAGTCAGCCAAGGAACCGCGGAAGGTGAGGTTCCCTCTGCACACCTTCCCTGTACGTCGTTGTTACTATCCTGTCTCAGAGGCAGGTAGGCGTAGTACCATATGTTGGAGCTGGGAACCTACCTTACCTTACTACCTTGGCCCCTTAGTAACCTTACAGGAAGCTGCTGACTGAGATGGATGGGAAAGAGTGGTGAGTGCGTTCTTGTCTTTCTAAATTTGTCGGATGCCATCTGTAGGTGTGTGTGCTGCAGACCAAGGTACCTTTTTGCCTGGGTATTTCTATGCCGCCTGAGGTGGTCTCTATGTACGACGGGAGTCTGCACTTTGTAGTTCGTCTCCCATTGGGTTACGTTAGGTTCAACCTGAGGTCCGAGGCAAGGTACGTATCGGAGCGATCCATTCTCCTTGGTCCATCAGGTTCCCCAGTGCCAATCCCACCCTCGCTCCTGCCTTCCCGTGTGTGGGAGGTAGGCGCAGGGCCAGCAGGGCCAGCAGGGCTCAATTCTACACCCTCATTTTTCCTTCCATACCCCTAGCTCTGTTAGATGCTAGGGTGTGTGTATAGTAGCCATCCGCTTAGCGCACGCCCTGAGGTCTGTATGCCTGGGCAGAGAACATGATCCTGAAAGTGCTCACCCCTTTCACCCTTTCACCCCCCCGTCCCAAGTTCCTTCCCCATGCCCTCAGGGCCTTCCAGTCTTCCACTCAATCTTCTTCTTCTTCTTCTTCTTCTTCTTCTTCTTCTTCTTCTTCCTCCTCCTTGCCTTACCGAGCAGCCCTTGTCTCCAGACTCTGACTCTTTCTCCATCCAAATACCTCACACTGACGCTCTATCCGAACGGTTGCAGAGAAGGCCTCTCTGCGGGTAGGAGTACCGAGGAAATGAGACTCAAGATACCTCGCCGAAATAGTATCCAAACGCGTAATGCGCTTCTTGGCTGCAAAGAACAAACGAGCAGACAGAATGGAACGCCAGGATTGTATCTCGAGGGACTTACCTTAGCTTGGGCAGTGGACTTGTTGATGATACTTGGGATATTTGTTTGGAAGGAAGCACGAGAAGGTCGAGAGAGCCGTGGTCCTTGCCCTGCTCTCGGAGACCCTTGCGCCTGCCTTGTCTGCTCTCTCTCCCCTCCCACGGGCCACCATGCGGTGCTACCCCGTCGTCGTGGACCCGCGCTAATCCTGATCGGATACCCCTGATCTTTGCAGCCACGACACTGGACCGCGGGAGGGACGCACCGGGAGCGCGCAGCAAATGGAATGATTCAACGGAACCCGCTCTCTGCCCTGTTCTGCCCTGTGTCGCCTTGGACTTGCATCTTTGGAGCACACTGCACACGCATTCCTCTTTTCAACGGAGAGACGGACAGAATCACGACGTGAGCCTGTGAGGGACCACAAGCAGGGAGCGCAATGCGGTACGTTTCTTACCTTATGGTTGATATCAGTCCCCTCGGTCGTGTTTTCTTGGGTGAGATGGGCAAGACCTGATGAAGTACGGAGTACGGAGTACCTACGGTTCTCAAGGACCCCACCCAGCTTATCTAAGCACTTGTTCAAGAGCCCAAGAGACCGTTGCGAGATCCTTCACCCCGCTGCCTCAAGATGCTTGTGGCACTTGAGATATGCACTTTGTGTGTTTCTTCTACACCTGCAACTTCTATGCCCGCAATGAGGCAAGCAAGGCAAGGCCATCCATTGCCTCTTCTGCATCAGCATCAGCATCAGCATCAGTATGAGCTCAGCATCAGACCCCATCTAAGCCCGACCGACCTTACTTTTCATTGCTTACCCAGGCAGGCAACTCGGGCAACCCAAATGTGCCTTAGTCTTAGGTAGCTTTCTTTAAGTGAAGCCCAAAGGCTGCAAGATGCAAAAGCGAGATGCAAATCCACCAAAGTCCCGTTTCGCATCATTTCCCCTCTTGCTTTTCCTGATTCCTCCAGTTCCTCCTTGGCCTTGGCGCCAACCTGAATGTTCGTGCCTGCTGTATCCGTACGGAGTACTTGCCTCACCGACGTGTCTACCTACGGAAGGGAAGTTACGCCAAAGGTATCCAAGGTACCTGGTATCTTAACTAAGGTATGGATCTGTGCTCATCGCTTCGTGCGGTACCTCTTTCATTGTCGATGCGCATCGTTCCTGCCTTGCGGATAGTTCTCACGCCTACCCACTTCGTGATGCATGTGGCTTCGTCAACGAGAATTTGCGTTGATTTGGGAAGGAGAAAGGGAAGGTGGACATGTAACGAGAGGAGGGCAAGAGGCAGCAGCACTTCTGCCTGTCCTCTTCCCTTGAGATGATGCGTGTGATGTAATTCTTCGTATCAATTCGCATGGAAGGTACCTACCAAATCGTGCCTACCTACCTTACCTACCTTAGGTAGGTACTTTACCTGATGACTTGGTCCGATAGGAACATGCAGGTAGCAAACAAATGCTCCAACAGCTGAACAGCTCACCTCACGCTGCTTGGTCATCGTCCTCGGCTTCGGGATGATTTCCCAACTTCCATCTCATCAGTCGGACCACGAAACCTCAAATGCGCTTCATTCCCGCCTTGGTCTTTCTTCACACGCCATTCCATCTCGCGCACGGAGCGAGCGTCGAAGCAATCTTCATCACACCTTACTTTACCTCAAAGTACCTACTACCTAGGTGCCTTAGGTATTCATCCACCTGAACGCAAGGTACTTTGACTGCCTTGCTTTCTCTCACCTACAACTCGTACCTTTTTTTTCAGGTTCTGTGCTGATTCTTACTCAGGTGCCTCCACGTCTCTGCTGAATCGAGCGAGGTTCCGTCGCGACACCTGCCAGACCGCCCGGACACAATCCCATTCTCGACTTCTTTTGTTCTTCATTCCATTGTTGCGCTCCCCCGGCCCTCGTCCGGACGGACCCAGACCTGCGGATTCCCTTGGCTCATAAGGCATATTACTATTGATTACCTACGAATACCGTATTCGTACGTCAGGAGACTAGCACCGGGCAAAGGACACGACCCGGACGCCGTCTAGACTCCACGGCTCGCCGCACACCGCACACCGCACACCGCACGCCGCACGCCATCACCGCCGTCTTATTACCCACACCTCTCCGAATATCACCAAGGAAGACAAATTACTGCATTCCTCACCCCGCCGTCCTTGACGCACTTCGATTCCTCCAACAACTCGATCCGACTCGGATGCTTCCTTGAGCCTTCTAGATCCATCGCCTCACCTTGCCCATTCAAGGTAGCCCACGCACGCGGCTAGTAACAGCACGGCATACACACCACACGCACACACATATACGCACATATACACCTTGAGCTATCTATGCTTATATCGCCTGGGTGGCCTTGGTCGCATCAACATCAACGCACCTCATTCCGTCACCCCCATGACTCTCCGTCCCCAGCCCTCCTTCTCTCTTCCATTTCCCCTCGAACGCTCGATCCGAGCAACAACCCCCTTCCCTACAACCATTACCGCTACGAATACCTAGTCTACTACACCACCTTGCCTACCTTACCTTAGGTGCTACCCACACCCCGACGCAGCGTGAAGGAAGGGCGACAAGAAGTTGACAGACAGGGCTGCATTGCTGCTTATGTGCTTGCATGGCACTAACTCAAAGGGCTACAAGAAACAGCCACACGCCCAACGTCGTGCTCGTGGTTCCCTGGTGTATGACTAGCCAGTCCCCATCCGCATCCTATTCCTTTTAGGGCTGCTCGCCGAACAAGCGTCCCGCTACTCTACCCGTCAACGAGAGAGATTCACCCCCCCCCCTCTCTTCCTTATCACCACCCCCTTCAACTTAGTACATACACTCCCTCTTCCAAAGTTCACCCATCAAATCATTCCCGTCACCCCTCCCCTCTTGTCTTCCATTCGGCCTTCCTCTTCTCCACCTCCTCTTCTTCTGCCCTGCCCTGTAAGGCCCTGGGCTAAGGATACCTCAGGACCTAGTGTATCCGTTCACAGTAGGCGTGCTAAGCTAGGGTATCAGGTATTCTCTCTCAATCAGGTCTCTTCTCTGCCTGGGCTGTCCTCTGTCTCTCAGTATCCCCTGCTGCTGCCCCTGCTGGGGGTAAAAAGGAACCACCCGGGGGCTTCTTCTCCAATCCACGTTACGCCGAAGTTGGAGGTTTGGATGTGCCTCCATCTGGGTCCCTGGGCCGCTACCGCTACGAATACCGCTACCTACGGATACCGCTACTGCTGCCGCTGGAGCTTCGCTTGACGCTGCCGACAGCTTCCCTGGGCTCCCCCTCCACCCCCTTCTCCTCTCCTCTCCTTGACCAGGTCTTTCTCCTCCACTCGACTCGTTCTCCCGCCTTTTTTTCATAAGTACTAGTCGCCTCTTTCACCTTGCCATACCTGGGGGTGTCGATTTTATTTTATTTTTATTCATACAGCAGCTGGCGTCGTCACACAATCGCCTCTTATTTCAGCTGTCGTCTCCCCCCCACGACCTGACCTGACTTACGGATGTAAACTCTACCCACCCCAGCTCCGGCCACTCTGCTTCCTCCGACAACATTTGCTCCTCGCATTCCTCGACGCCGTCCGGACCTGATCTGTTTCTGCTTGTCCCGCGATTAGACCGCCGGACTCAACAATTGTACATCCAGTCCAACCACATCGACGTCTGCTACTTTTCCCTCTTCTACGTTACGACTCGCGCCGCTTTGCTCGATTCCGTCTAGTCTTGTCTTTCCTTTTTCAGTCTCCTCTCGGCCCCGACCGCTGCGTGACGCAAGAGAGAGAGACCGACAGAGACAGCCATTCTCGGCTTGCATTGGCCCCCGTTCTCAACCAACGGCGAACCCGACTGCCATCGCCACCCACGGCCTCCAAGACGACCGCCTTGGCCTCGGACGCTTCTCGTATCCCACCGCGATCAGAACCCTAGATATTTCCCGGCCCATCACTCATGACGCCCGTGCTTCCGTCACTATAAACCTTAGTGGCGCCGCTTCAGCTGGAATTGTCAATCCTCAGCCAGCAACTGCACAGATACAAGCCGACATCATGGAGGCACCTTCGAGATACAGGGAGCCTGCGGGTCTTCCCAGCATATTTATAGACTCAAACCCAAGAGACTCAAACCGCTTCGACTCTAGCAGTTACTCCTCCTCTGTCGCCATCCCAGGTTCCGGAGACAGAATCAACGCACCGCCGCCCTTACCACCACCACGACTTCCCTTTGACGATCCTCACATGCATCACCAGGAGCCCAGACAACACTACCGCGATCCCTCATCATACAGCCCTAGAGAACATAGTTACCACGACAGCTTGGGAAGTTTGGATGACAGGCCACACTACATGAGGTCCGGTTACAGGCACGATGAGGGTTATGCCAGCATGGGTTCGTCTTCAGCTTCGGCTTCCACAAGGTAGGAAATCCCCAACCTTTCAATCGGGCCTAGTTTGGTTCTAGAAGAAAAAAACTTGAGAGTGTCGAGATTTTGGGTGCCCATCTAACATTTTCACATTGATAGATCTGAATGTTCCTTGCCGAGCATCTCGGCCGGGTTTGGTCTGCACCACAACCAGTTCCAGTTCCAGTCTGGCGCCGACGCTTTCACCGACATGAAGAAGAAGCTCGCTCCCCTAAAGACGTTCGATAACAAGCCGCCTGGCTCACTCCTCAGTGCGTCAAGCACATCATCAACTAGCGACCCTTTCTCGAGGAGGCTTTCTGGCGACATGCGGGTACCGCCACTCTCCGTGCCCACCAGTCTTCCGTTGCACCTCAAGACGTCAAACCTACTAGACTCTCCCGACAGATACACGCAGACTCCTCACTCTGCCCTCTCACCTTCCCCTAGAAGCCAGCCATTCCATCTCGGCCAGGACTATAGGTCACCTCGGTCCGTCTCCGACCTCGACAGGTCACCACCTACTCGCACCAGAAGGAATAACAGCGACGATGCATCATCGCACAGCTACGAAGTGGAGGAGATGGAAATGGAGGAGACCAATTCTATGAAGAGATTGCGGATAGAGGATCCCATGAGAGCACACTACGATGGTGCTGGGGCGAAGCGCCGTGCATCCGCTGATCCCGACGACAGCGTACCACTTGGTTTCACCACCCAGAGTGACTTGCTACGCCGTCGCGATGGAAACCAAAGAGGATCCCCCACGCCTCGACTGAGTGTCATCCCTCAAGGATCAATCTCTTCGCCATCCGGTCGCGCAGGGTCTTACAGCTCTAACCTATCACTACTCACCGGGAGCATTACCAGCATGGGCTCGTCGTCGTTTGGCCGAGTCTCTCCAGGGGGCCTTTCCCCAGGTGGGATTTCGCCCGGCGGAACCGACCCCAGCTGCAGCTCTCCCTACAGTGCATCAATGTCGCTCAACCCCTCGCCTCGCGGTTCCCTTTCCAGGGCACCCCACCAGCGGACCATTAGCGAAAGCCGGCCTCTCGCTTCTCCCCGCAAGCTTACGGAGGTGAGCAAGCCTGGTGGAACCAAAATTTCGGGATTCTTCATGTGCGATTGTTGCCCGAAGAAACCCAAGAAATTTGAGTCGGCTGAGGAGTTGGCGTAAGTACCGACCCTGCAAATATCATAAGCTTTTCGCTAACCGTCAACAGGTCTCATGAAGCCGAGAAGCAGTATGAATGTTCTTTCTGCGGAAATCGATTCAAGAACAAGAATGAGGCCGAACGCCACCAGAATAGTCTTCATGTTCGCAGACACAGCTGGAGTTGCTCAGCCCTGAATGGCTATGATCGTGCGTTCCACGACAGTACCAATCGCCCCGGTGAAGCAGACTCTTGTGGCTACTGTGGTGAGGAGTTCCCTAGAAACGGGAGAGGCCCTGGTGCTTCCGCACCGCGACACGCTACCGACCAGGATTGGGAAGAGCGCATTCGCCACCTCCAAGAAGTACACAAGTTCAGGGAGTGCAACAGCAGCAAGAAATTTTTCCGCGCAGATCACTTTCGGCAGCATCTGAAGCATAGCCACGCAGGCACAAGCGGCAAATGGACGAACATGCTGGAAAATGCTTGCATGCTGGATGAAGATCCTACTCCGAGATGAGCATAAGCCAAGCTATCAAGCTCGACTTACCGATGACTCGTCGGAGACCATGGCATAGGTTGACTGGCCATTCAT